TAAACAAACGTTTCCAGCGGCTTAGCTTTATTAAAGAAATCAAAGATTATAGTATTACTAAATCTATGGAGTAGTCACCTAAGTTTACAGAGAGAAATTGGCACATTGAATAGATTACATATAGTAGGTACAAGCTATCGGAGTAGAGAATTTTCACGGAGTTGTTTAGTTAAAGGTAACTTTGCGTGACATATATCATGAACCTCAACATACAGAGAAAGTAGCTATAAAGAGTAAGTATTGCTAAGGTAAACGATCACTCTCACCACACTTCACAGCAGCGAGCGTCCACCTTAGTGAGAATGCGATTGCAGTCTCCGGCTCTATAATGCAATAGTACAGTACAGTGTACCCCTATAATTCCTCTTCCTCTCGCTAATACTTAAGACGCGAAGTTCTTGCTAAACGGTCTTATCGCCGCACGCTCTTACTACTAGGCTGCCGCATCAAGGCTTCTGCGTTTCGTTCCTGCTACGTGCGCCAACCCTATACCCATATAAAGCAATGCGTCCTCTTTAGTATAGAGAAAACAAGAACCTCTCTATCGCTAAGTTCGACGAAGACATAAAGCCGTCGTATACAATACTTTCCCTTAGGTAGAGAGCAGAAGCGGACGAGGTAATATTCAAATACATAGTAGGGAACACGGGTAAGAATAAGCCTAGCTATACAAAGATTCGCTTTTACTGGCAACAAGCTCAGCGAAATAGCTTATAGTACTTCTAGGTCGATACCTGCTGCACTATACAGACTCACCACCAACAACAATACCCTACGAAAAGGGTAGCATATACCGCCAAAAACAGCGGCATAATATATATAGCTTTTCAATACAAACGTATTAACATTTCCATACTTATACAACCAGAATCAGTCCCCCCTCTATATAGTATCTAAGCAACTACACAGCCACTAAGCATAAACGAATAGGCCTTTTTAGGGAACTCATTACTCAGCTATACTTTCCTAGTCACTTGCAGCTATATTTCGGCCAAGACTACTACCTTCAGCGCCTTAGCTCTTTTAACAACAGGCTACAGCGGCGGTAGTCAACAACAGCAGCGTGGGATTAAGCGCCCAGAAAAATGCAGCCGATCTTGGCCGACCACCAAGTCTCAACCATATTTAAAAACCAGACTTTTCAGCACAGCATACACTAACCCAGCTCAGCTAAACACTAAACTTAGTTTTTGGCATTACTAGCGCGACAGCAACTCTCCAGTATTGTGGTCAAGAGGCCGCTGCAGCTACGGGAGCTTCAGCTAGAGGTAGGTTAAAACAAGGATAGACCACTATTATCATTATCTAGTTTAAGGCAATATACATAATGAGGATTGCGAACGCGTGTGCTATACAGTAGTCTAAGATATATTAAATCAGAAAGTCGCGCTACACGCAGTTCATCTTTACTCCTTTTATAATTTCGTATTAAGTACGAGAAGTAAGACAACATTCATGCATTAGTTTCTACGGATTACTACGACGCGATGACGGTGAGGCTGGTTAACTTTAAAGAAAAGTAGTTCTACTAGGATAAGAAGCCGTACAAAGTTAGGTTCTAGAACGATTAGTCAAAGAAAGGTGCACTATTAGCAACGTTAACATTCCTATCAAGTAAATTAAAAGTTTTGTTAGTCATAATCACTATTTTTATTTCGGTTTTTAGCGGATATACCTAGAGTATATAGTCTAGAGTCTAATAAGCGGGATAATTAATAAGACGTAGATATTATCTACTTTATAATACACCAACTACTCTCTACAGATAAAGGAAGAGATAGACTGTATTATCAATGTTAGATTATATTATGTAAAGCTTAAAACCTAGTATCCACCCTCTAGTATCTAATTAAGCTCAGCTATTCCTAGAAATCAAACACGAGACGCGCAGTTTATCGTTAACTACCCTTTATACTTCTCGCTTTTACCCATATCGCATGTTTCACAATTAGTTCCATTACGTCAGTCCAAATTGCTTCTATCAGAAATAGTGCTCTCCTTAGATTAGTAGGCTACGGATATTTTGTTAGCGAAATACCTTTGCCCATACAATCTAAGATTAAGGCTAAACGTCGCAGACAGCTGCAACGGAGCGCGAAATATGTTCGCAGTTGCTACATAAGAGGCGGATCGGATAGTAAATCGACCTATCAGCGTCTTCCAGTCACCAAGCTTCCAACAAAACTAGAAACAGGTATTCCGTGTCCCTTCAACCCACCTTCTCTTTGCAGAAACTCGACGAGAGGGACTATCAAGATGCAGACGGAGACGCTGAACTCACATAAGCATTTTAGCATCAATTTCCGCATTAGATATCGCGTGGAATATAGAATATTCTCAATTTGTACTCCATTACCGCTCACTAAAGCCCCTAAATACGCTATAAAACGACCAACGAATTTTACAGATAAGCTCTATCAGAATTACACCTACTTAGATTTAAACTATATCCCACCGAGTATTCCTATTCTGTACGATAAGCTCGGAAGGAGCCTAAGAAATAGGCAGCCCTACTAGTTCACGTCTGTATCTCTCTTTCACGTATTGCATGGCCTTGCTTACTATTTAGCAGGGTGTTTCCGTCGTTTCCCGGAGCTACTATTGACGAATCCGCCCTAAACAAGACCTTACACACCACGAATTACACCGTGGTACAACCAGTCAAGGAGTTGCGGTTACAAGATGCCAATATAACAGTAGCGATCCTAGATACATATCAACGCACTATACATAGAACCGTCCAACGATATTCTCCTTAGGACAAGGGGTTTCGTACCTAAAGAAGATTGCGGATGTAACAGCTTACTATTAGGCGCTCAAGGCTCATAGAAAGCTCAACCTATTTCGGAGTTTGTTTGTTCTAAGCGATATCAATTGTGCAATGCTGCCTCAAAGCAATGCACCCAATAAGATGCACGTATAAATATCGTTAAACAAAAACTCAACAAAATCGACTTCCAAGTACAACGAAATGTTAAATTCAATCCAAGGCAGCAGGCTATAGTTTCCATAATCGCTAGACTTGCACTAGCCTTCAACTACCCTTCAGCTCTCCACTCTATTGGCGGCACGGCAATGCTTGCCCAGGACAAGCTGATCGAGAGCGCCGGCACTATGTCCCTAAAAGTAGAGTCTAACCAAACGGAAATCGAATTCGAGAATTGGTTCCACATTCAGATAGCTGCTATGCAACACGGGTTCACTAAACACATAGACCTCGGCAATAAATTCAAGGTTTAGGTGCAGCAGACGAAAGATCCTAATTGGCAGGATTTATGCAAATCTTAACTCATCTATCATCCAGACGCAGTTTCATTCAGCGTTTTAGGTCTAGTTTTGACACTTACCCTAGAATGCTTTCTCATTCTAACTACGTTACTTATCAAACCTCTAGTCCAGTGGTGGAGAAGGCAAAGGGCACAAGATATTTATAAGCAGTTAGAATGGGATGCTGGAGAGTTGCTTCACATAAAACGTATGTTACTTACACCTTTGAGTAATGGCAATTAACGTATCCAGGTATAGTTTACGAATCTTCCGAATAGGGAACTTGGAGCGAAGGATATACTCTCGTGCTGACAACAGAAAATGGCGAGGTCATAGTACCCCCTTTGGGTGCCGTTGATCGATCGATGTTGAAGTCTGTTAGGCCTTGATATAACAGACAACAGAGGTTCTTGCATCCCTGCAGAACCTGATAGAGAAAGACGCTTATACACTGGATGCGACAAGCAAGCAGCGCCTGTAGAAACACTTACGGAAGATCGCGACTGCAACTAAAGTATCTTTTGCTGAGTGTGCCCTCCTATAGGACTAGAACTGCTTCCTATTCTAAATGAACAACGCCAAAGCTCGTCGATCGACTAGATTAGTAGTCCTGGGGAAGGCGAAGGTGATGAGTCATTAAGATCTAGAGGAGGCGCGAGCAAAGCGTGAGGCGAAAGATTAAGCCACTGCAACTAAGGGTAAACAAGGTCGTAAATAGAAGACTCCCGTAACTGAAGAGGTAGAGATGGGTCCATTAGTGCCGGAGAGCAATGCCGTGATATGAAAAGAAACCGAGCCAGCGAACATGATGAAGGTGTTATAAGAGCTCCGGTAGCGAAGATATATTAGGAGCTAGACCTACTTATCGACTTAACATGTATGAATCTGGCGTTGACTCTGTTACCTTTATTAGTTAATCGGACGACACTACGGTGCTTACTCATCTCCGAACTTGGTAGCATAGGCTTGGCTTATCTGCTAATAGGTATAAATTACACATGCTCTGCTGCGTACAGCTTATTTAGCGTTCTATAACCAGCTCAATTTGAAAATCGCTTCGTCTAGAAGTACTGACTAGGGTGGCGATCTTGCACGAATCTGCGTGCATTAGTAGTGTGCTGCACCAGCCCGTGCACGCGATAGGCGAAAAAGCTACTACTTTCAATACTAAATATCCCCACTAATATGGGTGATATTAACGCAGCTCTTGCAGCACTAGATGCGCTAAAAGCAGGAGAATCTTTTAGTTATACAAAAATCGCGAGACAGTATATGTAGTATATAGTGGTCAACCTTATTGCGGTGCTATAGAGGGATTATCCTCCAAGTATAACGTACATACCTACACAGCCACCTCGCTTCAGTGAGCGGATCCCCTTGCGCCATTGGACCGGTAGCGACACTCGTGAAAGCTTGGACTGAAATGATTGGGGCTGGGATCAAGCTGCTGAGTGTGGCTTCAGCTGATAAACAATGGCGCAAACGATGTGCGCTTGGATGGCTGAACTATGTATATAGGTAGCAGCTTGCAGATCTCTATTTGCATAAACCCATTTTCTTTTGCACGACTGCTGCAGAGACTGTCTCTTGTTCCTAACTACAAAGAAGCGATTTAGATCCGACCGGACGGCTTCGACGAGCGATAACTAGCATATTGGCCCGCATTCATCGTTTCCGTCCAAAACCGTTAGCACCCGAAGAACCATCCCCCCCCCGTTTCCCAACTTCCGTACATGACGAATACTCGTCTCTTCAGCCCTAAACGGCCCGAGATGAAAGTCGACGCTGCCACCGGGAGCCTCCTCCCCCCATCAACGCGGCCCAGCATGGGCAAGCAAGCAACCGCAATGAGAAGACTTGGGTGGTACGCACTAAGCTCGATCATCTTCGGCACGATCCTGATCCTAGCATCATTCGGCTTCCTCAGCTTTCTGTGGTTTGCCGACGCACGAAACGAAGTGTGGCGGCAGATCGTGGAAACAAATTGGACGACGCGCTCAATCACTTTAACGGCTCTGGTCATCCGGACCGCGGTTTCCGCTCACGCATTTGTAACCACTGCCATGTTGGCCGCGCTAGCACTTCAGTGGCACCAGGTTCCTATTCCAAGCTTCGCCGCCGTATCGCTAATCCGCTTTTCCAACAGCGGTCCCCACGGTTTGATACGATATTTTATCCAGAGTGGTGGCTCCAGCCGCCGTGGCCTGCTCACGTTACTGGCAGTGGCCTTAGCTGTCTCGACGACGCTTACGAGCGTGACGTCGACGGCGTTGCTTTCAGACGTTACTTTGGGCATGATACCCGGCAGCGCCGAAGACATGAGATTGTACTTTGGCATGAACATGTCGCGTCCCCGTTTCGACGTTTCCGACCTCTCGGACAACTACCAGGTCTTCTGGAGCCGCCGGCCGGAAAGATACCCATCCTTTGCCGAGCTCGTTGCAGAACCGCCCGTTTCCATTCAGGCGGTGCACGATACCGGTGTTATCCTCCGGGCTTTTCTACCTATCATTTCCGAGGAGATCCGTTCAAACATGCGCAACTTTTCTGGCGTGGCGTCGGTCGTTGGGATGCGAACAATGTGCGCAAAACCTCAGCTGACAGACCTGAACATCACCGAGACGAGTCTGGGGTATAGAGTTCGTGGGAAAGTCAAACTTGATCTGGACGATGAGGGACAGAGGAGTTTCGCGTCAGACAATGAGTGGGTAAATGTCGATTGCTTGGCCCCAGCTTTATTAGACGTGAACACTAGTGTGTCCGAATGGCAGGCCTCAATCTGCTCCCTTGATGCGGCGACATTGTTTAACAGGACGAAGATAGATACCATCCCCGTCAACGGCTCAGAATACGGCGCAGAGTATCTTCTTATTAATACTACGTATCCCGCGGATATTGAGGCCTCAGTCCTGCCTCCCGAATGGGATACTGTCCAAAACAAATATGGTAATGCTACCTTGGTTATCAGTGCATGCGGTACAGTTTATCGACATCGTAACATGATCATCCAGGCATCAAGACCCGCGAATGTAACGGAGCCAAAACTAGCGTGGAGCTTGAACAAGGAAACCTTTAACACTCTCGATATCCGCCGCCAGCTCGGAGCAACTGTCGAAGACATCGGCGTATACGAGCGAGGTCTCTTGAGCCTCGATAATTACAATGAGAAGAATATATATCCCTCTGATGCAGACGGGTTGTACCTCCTTTGGCATGTCGCCTACCCCTCGTGGGCTGGAAGCGTCTACTCGTCCAGCTCAGACACCACACTCGCAATCTGCCGGTACTGCACCCACGGCGGCAAATCCTATGCGGAACAATCACAAGCCGTGATTCTGAACCACATCCTCCAGGATACCTTACGCCCTGCCTTAGCTATTCAAGCGTACTCAACCATCATTTGGGAACTCGCATACTATGATAAATGGGTCGAGTTCGATGTTTCCAGCGTGAGCTCGGCGAGTATGTTCGTTCAAAGATTGCGACCAATAGCGTCGTGGGGTTACTATGCTGTTGGCGCGATCCTTGCCATCCACATCGTCCTGACCCTACTTACCACGCTTGGCTTCCTCGCGAGTGCTAAGCACACCCTACTAGGGAATGCTTGGTCTACCGTTGCACAGATGAGATATGAGGAGACGGGCGAGATACTGGATAATGCAGCCATGGCATCAGATAGAGAGGTTCGGACATGGCTTAACGCAAGAGGCCTAAAGAATAGACCTGCTAGATTGAACTCAACTAACAGATAGTTGTTGTAAGTTAATTACAGTACTACGGTATCGCCTAGATAGAGAAGGAACCCTATGTAACGGTGCAAGCAAGACTAGTCGGATCAGTATCGGCAGTAGTGTCACTCAGAGGCATATGGGAGTGCGTGGGACATCAAACAATTAATTCGAATAGACACCTATAGGCCTTGTACGGAAGGATATTAAAAGTCTACCTGTCCTAGTCGGGTCCGAATCGGATCCGACTAAGANTAGTAGAGTAGGGTACTTGATAAGAAGGTAATAAAAAAGTAAATAATACTAATTTATATTACTTTAGACTAATAGGTAATCATCTTATTAAGTAAATTAACTAGCAAAAAAGTATGATTTGAGTTAACTATGATAAGAGTAAATGATAAAATCTATCTATATTTGTATTGTTATTACTTCTAGTCCTACTATTCTATTATATACTACTATTCTAGATAGCTAGCCTTAGTAGGATAGTATGTTACGTGACTCTGAGCCCCGCGATAGCTATCATCTTCTGACGCGGACGTGTATAGGCCCCTTGCCTTCTCGTCTCTTATTAAGGAGAGAATCCTTCCTGTTACTTGTAACATATTAGTAGATCTGCTCTTCCTATGAACTATTTCGCAGGCGAAAAGAAGCGAACAGTATATAGTAACTTATAAGTTATGTAACGTACGCGGAAGGAAAACTGAGAAAGGAAAGAAAAGGAAGAAACGAGAGAAAGAGAAGACTAAATAAAAAGGTCTTTGTTATGCAGCCCTAGTGTCGTGAGACTTCTAAAACAGTGTTTTCTTTTGCGTATAGCATTTCTCTTAGCGGTTCTCTGTTCAAAACTGGTCTCCCGAAACTGGTCACCAAGATAGGGAATTTAGTGTGGCTTGGCGGTCTGTGTTCCCAAAACGGGTTCACGAAAACTTGACAACCATCTCAGTATTCACTATACTACTGAAGATGATTGACGGAAGAGAAAACATTTAAGTAATATATATCAGACAATAACTTTTAGACAAGTCCTTAGGTTCCAAGATTAGATGAGAACTTTGTATTAGTCACGTGGTCTTTGCCCTGCGATCACAGCCCTATGGAGCGCAAGATGACAAAACGTTGTGGACAAGCGAAATGCACACCTCACCAACTTTTTTACCCTATTATACTTGTCTCTATCATGGATCTACACCACGCCACTCTATTACTCTCAAATGAATTAGATATTCAGCTTGCTATATGATGTTTCGATTTTAATTAAATCTAAATAGGCCGCCGCGCCGCTTTTATCTTGAACGTGCTTAAATCAATATTACGCAATCGACGTGCGAGAGAGAGCGCTAGACGCAATGACTAGCCCTACCTGAAGAAGCTTACTTACGTAGAAGAGGAACAGATTATTAGCTATATACTTAGTGTATATTACTTTAGGTTTATATATGCCTACGCTGCTGTACGCGATATAGCCAATAAGCTATTAGCTGCATAATACACTGGCTAAGTTAGGTAGAAATGGTTAGCTAACTCTATTAGGCGTACAGACTCTCTTGCTACTTATTTTAATCAGGTTGGTCGTACAATCTTGTCTAGAGAGCTTTCCTATATATTAGTTTCTAAGGATTTAATAAGAGACTTTATAGAGCTGTGCAGCGCTTCTTAATGTTAGTATCGCGTTACTTTGAATAATATAGAGTGTAATCCGTACATTCACTTGTAAGTCACGCTGTTTACCGACAAACTTCGTTTCATCTTCGTAGGAGTCTCGTGAGTGCCCCGGGAGACTGTGTATTGTGCAACATGGGTTAGGGAACATTCAGGTGCATTCCAAAAAGACAAAGCAGTTGAGCGCGCGTAAAATTGGGTAACTGAGCGGGGGAGAGAGTAGTATAGGCTACGATAGAGTCGGTTGTGTATCGTTTATGAGTTCTTTGATCCTTACCCACATGTTCGTTTGGTACCAAAAAAGCCCGGATGACTCCTGCATAGGCCTCATAGGGTCAATTGGTTGAAAGTCAAAGGTTCTCAACAGCTCAAATATAACCTTGTAAAGCTGGGTGAAAGCCACATGCTTGCCTGCGCATACCCACCTCCCATAACCAAATGCAAACTCTACTATCCTTTCTATCTCAGCTCTGGTAGTGACATCGCAATCGAGAAACCTCTCCGGGCGGTATGTTTCCACATCCTGCCCGAATATGTTCCTCGACATCATTAAACCATATATATTACGGCTTATTGCGGTTCCACCCGGGAGGAATACGCCATTAAGCATCTCGCCTCCAGCTGGTACACTTTTAAAATGTCCGTACAAGGCAGGGGGGCGGACCCGAATAGCTTCATAAATCACAGCCTAAAAAGAAGTAGTATTCGCAATCGCGCCTTGCGGTGATTCATTACCTGTAGGCATGACAATTGCTTGCCCTGCTTGTAGGTAATGGGCTTAGAGGACACTTTGCCGCTGTTTATAACCTCTCTAGCCTCCTTCATCAAATGACTATAGACTCGGGGAGTTCTCACTATGAACAAAAGTGCACTCCATATCGTAGTTCCTGTCGTATCAGAGCCTGCAATGACTTGCACAACGCTCTCGGTTTCACATTGATCGCGTGAAAGCCCGTGGCGCATGAATGAGGACTAAAGTTGTTAGGCTAAGCATACTAGGTTCTCATGAACTTTGGGTTTACAACGTACTACCATGTCTTTGCCTTTGTCAGATCTTGGTCCAAAATGTTTTGCGACTAACTCTTGGCCTAATCTGTAATATGAAAGTTATTAGATCCAAAGTTTTAAGACTTTCTCAAGTTAGAGAATACTACTTGCCCGATAAGCCTACCAAATCCTTTTTTATCGGAAGTCTTTGGCATAGTAAAAGGAGATAGCAAGGAAGACTTGAAAAAGTAGGGAGCAATGGCGTGTCTACTACGACACTCATTATTTTACCAGCATCTTGGACTTGTTTATTAAAACCGAAAAGGTCCTCGTTAGTTTCCATGTAGCCAAATGGTTCGCCGTAGGCAAGAGCGGTTATGGCGTCCATAGTAAAGAAGCGGATGATCCAGACGAGATCAGCCTTGCGTATCTCTGCTGATGTCGAAAGATAGTGGCGACGGACCAGTCCCTTGAGATTCGCAATCTGGTCATCCAGAACACCTTCTATATCGACATTGTCGCGACCATTGTACCCGTTTGTCAATTTTGCTTTGAGCCGATCATGCGCGGCTGTATCCAGAGTGGTGAGCAAATTGTCACGCGGGTCGAGCCGCACTCCTGTGAACCAATCATCTCTACCGTATGTGCTCTTGATGCCGTAGATATGGCGCAGAATGGCCGGGTCATCGGTGAGGATGTAATTGGGAGCGACGCGCACAAGAGATCCGTATCGTTTTAGGGCCAGTAACTGAGCATGGGAATTGCCCAAGAAGGTGTTCTTTATCAGCCACGCATGGGACAAAGACGCAAGGATTGGGCCTGGGATGTGACGCAAACGGAACCAGCTCACAAACGAAGAGAAAATGTAATATGCAGCGAACGCACCGGCTCCATATTGCAGAAAGTGTATCGCGTCGCCGCCAATGAAAGCCATCATGAAAGCGCGACTGCGAGGGAAGGCACGCGAAAGCTTGTTGAAGCGATAGTGGTAGATCGAGGATAGCAGACATAGGCAGTGACGGACGCCATTTATATACGATGCAGTTTGTCCAACAGTAATATTGGTGCATATTTCGCGAACTTGTCAATTTACTACGCCTCTATGATTTTGGACCGCCAGCGGCCAATCGGAGGACAGGTTCGCCATTACTACGACGAAGCCAATCGGAGAGCAAGTTCGTCATTACGACGCGGCCAATCGGGTCCAAGTCGGCATCAGACGAAGAAATAAAGGAACTAAAAAGCGATACTTGTTGTCAGCAATGGATGTGGCTTCCTAGTCATATGATTAACCGGTATCTGCCAGAGGAAAATTGAGAGGACCGGCTTCAAACTCCTCTATCAACAATCTCTATTTGCATATTGTGTGCCCGTAGCAAAACACTGGAGCGAAAACCTGACAGCACATGCACCAACCACAAAAAAAGAAGTGCAATGGCTATTTCACGTGCATCGAACGTTCCCCCAAGTGCTTTGACAATACTTCGAACCTTGGTACCTAAGCCTCCTGAAAATCTCAGCGTGAGAGACTATGGAACGAATCGGCGGAAAACCCGTGCTAGTAATCCTAAAGTGCGAACCGGGTGTAAAACCTGCAAGATCCGCCGGCTCAAGTGCGACGAAACCAGGCCAGTATGTCAGCGGTGTGAAAAGGCGCGGGTGGCTTGTGATGGATATAGCTCGACCAACCAACAAACTCTTGTAGCCAAGTCTAAGCCGAACACAGTTCCAGCCAGTACATTTGGCCTCCCTTCAAAGGCCACGCACGGGCTCCTTCTCCCGTACCTTCATCCCGGGTCCAATCCATCAGTGGGCAGATTCACTGGGGATGAAGTCTCGCATTTTGACTTCTTCCGCCACAAATTGACAATGGATTTCTCGGGCTACAGCTACTCCGACTTTTGGTCCCGGGTTGTTCCCTGCGAGGCTATAACAAACGACTGCGCCCGTTATGCGGTCTTGGCAATTGCCGCTCTCTCTCAGGGAATCTCGACTTCATTAGCATCTTCTCTAAAAAGTAACAAACTGTCAGCATTATTTCCATGGACCGCGAAATCCATCGTCAACAGCCATCACCAAACCGCACTCCGTCACTACGTCAAGGCACTGTCCATGTTCCGGAAACAAGTGCACGTGGCAGCCGAGATCCACTCTCCAAGAGCAGTTTTCATCATGACATATCTGTTCATTACCTTTGAGCTGCTACAGGGCAATATGGAAATGGTTGATAGACTTCTCAATAGTTCCATCCAACTTTTGAAGGGCACTCTCAAGCAATATCGCCAACATACCCTACCACGGCACAATGGAACTCGATATCGGGCGGAAGACGATGTTGATGATATTGAACACATATTGTCATTTCTCTCCATCATGGGCGCAGTGACCCCTTTTCTAAAGACCCAACGAGCGAATATAGGTCTTTGGGACACAACGGCTATAGACAAGGTGCCTGATTTAGAATCTCGGAGCACCAAGCAACTACAGACATACTGGGGCCAATTCTTTTCCCGCACCTTAGCCTTTACCCAGCAAGCATTCACCATAGTAACAGAAACACGCGCTACTGGAGTTGACCTGACGTTGGTACACGCACAACACGCTTATTTGTCACATTTAGATAAATAGCGAAACGTTCTAGATGTCGGCCTCGCTCGCGCCACTATGACCAGCGACAATCGGGCCAAGATGGCTATACAGCTGATGCAGCTACATCATCTTATGATTTCTATCATTGTAAAATGCTGTCTGGACCACACCGATATGATCTGGGACGAGTATGATCACGAATTTCTCGTGCTTGTAGAACGCTGTTTGGCTTTTGCCGCCGAGACAAGGCCAGGTTACCATGCGCTCTTCACTCTGAGTATGGGCATTCTCTCTACACTAGGGCCCGCTATTTCCAAATGTCGAAATCATAACATTCGAATGAAGGCTCTCGAAATCTCCCGTCGAATGCCATGGCGAGAGGGAACGTGGGACGCCGAAGCCGAGATATACGGGAGAATCGGAGCTGTCTTGCTTGAGGAGAGAGGAAGAAATAGTGATGGGTTTATCTCACCCGAGAATAGATGGACCTGGGTTGAAGGTGATTGGAACCTCGAACGGAATACACTCATCGGGAAATATGTTCGGAGCATACCAGACCAGAGCGGAGATCTTGTCCTGACATCACTAGAAGTGAGCCTAGACGCGTGGCATGATGTATGCGCTGACATTTGCTGTCCTGTGGATCACGCTGCAGGATGCGGAGTTCTAAATAGTGTCAATTAGGCTTATAAAAGCGCGGTCTGAGTAGAGTACTTAGAAACCTGCCAATACTATTATGATTATAGTTGTAACGGGATAGCCCTGGTCGGAGTACCGAGGGGCTAGAATCGCTGGGGTTCTGGTGGGAAATGGGAAATGTGCGGGGATTATATGACTTCACCGTTCAATCCGTGCCGGGTTAGCTCATCTAAGATGGACTTGGGCGGATTCTCGGGCAATGTCTTAGAAGACGGAGCGAATACCCACAGACCGCTGCCAAGACCGGAACAACTAGACTGGCAAATAGGTAGGGGTAGGGTTAGGTTAGCTAAGCCTTAGGTAGAGGGTTAGGTAGGTTGTTAGGAGTAAGGTTCTTGAGTGGAAGTAATATAAGACTTCAGGTGTCAAGACTCTCAGGGTTAGTTTTCGGGGATGAAGCAACAGTATGATATGAACAAATGTTCTTCAAGTAACTTGTATATTGTACTTATACATATACATAACTTAAGTTGAACACAATGAGCCATAAGGGCCCATGGCCTACTGCTATATACTTCTAGAGCCCCTGTGGTCCTAGTAAGTCTTCGCAATCCTAGTGAAGGCAGGATTACTAGGATTGAGTAGGATCTGTAGGACTGTTCATGTGGTCCTGGTAGTCCTAGTGCACGGAAGTCTGTCAAGGCTAGGGAGGATCGGTAGGATTCGTCACGTGACACGTGGAGTCTTGTCGGGTACCTCTGTTTCCTACATTCGTTTCGCCGTCTTATAGATTACTCTCTAAGCAATTGTAACGATGAATTGTCCTCACATTCTACAGGATCGTAACAATGAGCTATTTGCTCAAGTGAGACGTAACTTTCGCCTTCAGAGTCTGAAGTAAAAGTTGCCCTTGCAACTGTCTCACAACTCTCACGATCAAAGCTCTGCTCGTCATTATCCTCGTTATCCGATGTACTAATATATGCTTCCAGATAGAGTGCGATGCTAGACTGCACGGTACACTATAGGCAAGTTGTAACGGAGCGAACTGCCGCACTTGCACGACTCGATCAGGAATTGTTTATCCCAGTCGTTCACCCTGCACTGACAGATAGAGCACTGCAATATACACTACAGCAGCATAGAAATGGAGAAAGACTGAACTACTGTACTGTGCTTGTACTCCGATTCTGCAGCAGGTATTTTGTAAAAACAGATCGTCAAGTTATTATGGCTGTTTAAAACGTTGTTATCTCTTCCTGAAAGCACACAAGTCTCTAAACACGGTCTCACGAGCGCTGAAACGCATAGTGAGCTACTAGTCATATCTACAAATGCGCTCCATGAACGATCGACTCTACCACAAGGCTTATACACTCGAAACCAGTTCAGATTAGCGTGACCGAGAGCAAAAAACTCAAAGAATATGCATAACCTTAAACAGAGAATGCAACAAGTGCTATAGCGGACGGCATAGTGATACAATGATTAGCATTTCCGATTATCAAGCATTTAGCAGGCTGCGGGCCAAGTCGCGGATCCTATTGGTTAGGTCGGAGCATGAAGATGCTTCTCGGCGCATGATTACTCCAAATTCTAGCACACTACGGGTTACTGTCCAAGATGAGGAATAAACTGCTGCCACATAGTGGTCTTGTAGCAGCTTAACGGCAGGGAACGCATAGCCGCAAAGTCTTCTATAAATATAACAAGTCGCGCTAAGAGATGTGTGAAACAAAGGAGCTGCAACAGTACAGCCGTAAGAAGAGGAAGAGAAAGTCGGGGATTCTGACTAGTAGTGTTATTTCTTATCCAGTCCAAGATCGTACGTGGCCTTGGTCGTAGTCCTTTACTTGTTCGAGATCTATATTTGCGCCTGCCAAAGGGGATTGTGCTAGGGCTCCAATCTGTTTCCGCAACATTTGAGTGCTTTCTGGTTGCCAGGCTATATCGGAGATAGGGCCAGATTCTGAATGTTATTTCTGTCACAGCAAAGCAACCAACCAAAGTTCCAAGGGCAGTTAAAGATGCCACTCTCCAAAGTAGCTGTTCTCTTTGAGATGGTAGTCTCAAGTGCCATCCCGCAACAAATATAGCACAAAACCCAAAGTAGTAAATAGCACCCAGGCTGAAAAACCAAGTCGGAGGCTCGGCGCTGCTGAAGTTCGAAAATCGATCAATTGGGCGAACGCGAGTTCCAGCAGGTATGCCAAGTTCTCGAATTGCAGCTCTGAAATGAGCCCAATAAATCATCCAGAACCATTCCCTGCGATCAAGGAAGTCCAATGGAGTGTGACCATACGGTTCTTGTGCAGCCTCACCCCCAGTCAATAGTATTTCTGCCATGCTTGCATTGGTGGTAAGGATTTCGGGTACGCTCACATCAGCGGGTTTGTGCCACCAAAAGAACATGGTCGGCAAGCTTGCGTATATGAATGCCGCAGTAGTCAATTCGAGAGCTGTTGGACTGAGGTTTTGGGCAATTCGTGTGAAAAAATTGGCTAGAAACCAGACAGTCTGGATAACCATCAGAAATCGGGTCAGATTATCGGCTTTGTTCCGATCCAAGATCCGCCCTGCCAGAGCCGGAGGTATCGTGACATATTTGTGTTGGATCAACCAGAGAAGCTGTTTTGCGGATATAGGAAAGGGAACCCAGTCTTTTGTTTGTAAAACAAAGCCGCCCATTTCTGCGAAAAAGGCATGCTGAGGTGACCATTCACCGATATTAGCGGCCTTGAATTCCTTGACAGATTGTATTGCAGCAAAGTATTGGCCACTGGCGGCCACCGTGATGACCTCTGGTGTAAACAAGGTGAGGACGAAGATCATTGCTTTACGCCATAATTTTGTCCAATTCGTGTCATGACGACCTGGTACATTGAGGCAGAGCATCGACCAGCAGCACAAGAAAATGGTGCTCGTGCAGCTCCAGAGGATATCCATGCTCCCTCTTTCGCGAGGCGATGGAGTCCAGCCTTGCCGGAGTTCTTGCTCTCTATCAGCCATGTGCAGGATCGACGTGTTCGCAAACCCGGCCTTTGACAAAGGCTGCGAAGTCCCATAGGCGCATAGACTCAACGTTAGGAAAGCTAGTTGATGAAGCATGGTGAAGTGGTGGTATGATGGGCGGCTATCGATTGGTAAGTGGTACTGATAAGTCTTTATGGACGCGGGGGACTCTGTAATAGTCTAAAGAATAGATTAACTTATGCGCAAGAGATAAGGCTTCTCGAAAATATATAATATTAGCCGCGGCCGTAGTATGCGGTTACTTAGCAAATATTTATAGATATATATCAAACACATAATTATAGCAATACTCTACTGAAAGATCTCGCGATAATACTATTTTGGTAGTGGTTAAAAGCTTTGTTTTTTGGTGGGCGCGTATTTCGGTGGGGCGTTGTATCGGGTGAACTGTTGCATGCAGACGACATCCGGTAGCGTACACAGGCATGTAGACGCAGACTCGTTCATGTCCTTGGCCTCATCTGAGCCAATTGAACAACACTGGGTAAATCCATTACCCCACTCTAAGAGCCTTTTTTGTAGCTCAGGGAAATGTCACATGCATAGTAGAGTCAGTGCTCTGCCAGATGCTGGATCCTGGCGCTAAGGTGACCAACATGAAAGCAGAGTTGCCGTGGGGCGGATACGAGTGTGGCGCTGCCGAGTTGGTATGGCGGTGCTTGCACTGCATAGCATATGTGGATGATGTTTTGCCCCGCATCTCAAATGCGAGGGCCGAATCCAGCTACATCGTTGCCTAATCATACATAAGCGTGTTCGCATCGGACTTCCATGGAGAGCGGCGATAGCTGACCCTCTGAACGTAGCAGGCTTTGTAGCCGGTCTGGTCAGTCTCGCCATTCAGCTATCGCAACTGAGCTCCCAGTACGTCTCGAGCGCAACAGGATCTTCCAAAGGATAGGGCTCGTACATTCAGGAATTGTCAATCCTCACCTCAGTTCTGTTGAAGCTCCAACAAACGAGCGACTATGGCGATACGCAAAACGTACCTCATGTCCTGCAAACACCAGGAGTCTCTGTGGCCACTGGACGGAAATATCAAAAGGGACTATACAGTCAAGAAATGTCATTATCGGAGACACTTGCAAAGAGGGGTTTGCAGAGGAAGTTGGACATATTTGGCCATTCTCGCAGCCAGAAAGTAAAAAGAGAACTCTGATCTTGGATTGATACAGCAGCCTGTTTGAAGTCTCACTCATTGCTGACAATCTGAGCATCTCTCTCGAAAGCTATATGCATCTAAAAGGTGAAAAAGATGTTTGAGATCTCTACGAGATGCTTGAATGGTACAAGCCGAAGTACGAAGAATTGCCGCTGTCTCCAAAAGTTGTTCTGGAAGTAATGCGCCCTGAGACTTGGTCAGCTCTCTTGAGCTCAGCGACGTACGTGATTTGGAGAGATGCAGTCACCTCAACCACACAGGGACCCCTCTAGATTAACGGCGCACCTGGTGCAGGCAAGACTGTTCTGGCTGCGGCCATCGTGGACCATATATCGCGTCATAGAGACACGACAGTGGCCCGGCACTTCTTCAGAGACGATTATGAAGAGACCATACTGGAAGCCTTCCGAGATATTGTCTACCAGATTCTGCCATGGTTAAAAGCAGCTTCTAACGCTACAGTCGGTATCTACAAGAAGGAAAGGGCCTACAATGCCTCTATTCTCTCGAAAGATCTTATGGGAATCATCTGGGACATTTCAGCTAACCAAATAAATTTCTACATCGTATTTGATGGGCTGGACGAGTTTCCGCAGTACATGAAGCGGCTGAAACATCTTCCACAACTCGTAGCGAAAGGTGTCAAGGTCGTTTTTCAAGTCGAGGACTCCTACCATCGCGGCACACATGACCAATGCAATGCGCTTAAATGCACTCGTGGGACAAAAGAATATCGCATCATACGTCAATTGACGACTTGAAGAAGAGTCAGAGATCGAACAAAGTATCCTCACTTGCGATTTGAAAAGAGAAATCTCTTGTAAGATCATTGAGCAAATAAACGGATCGGAAGTACTGTATATATCTCTCTTGTTCAGAATCTGGTATTATGCCTTTTCTATACTGATTGCGTAAAGGCTCCTTCTCTCACAGTTCATCATAGACACTGTCTGCAGCACAAGGAACTCGCGAAAGGGATCATCTTTATAGCCGGATGTACCCTCGCAAGCTTAGGGCCCCTGAGCTCAACGATAACCATACTACGCTCAACCAATACCTATCAGCGTTTAAACTGTAATATATAATAGCTAGCATTCTTTTATAAAATCGATTCGGGCGCAAGTATTAAATGTGTATACAAACTACTATTTACAAGTCCCTAGCCATATTAGAGTAGTGCTCGTCGAGTAAGTCGTCGTTGTAGAAGCGCGGCAGTGGCAATGAATAGCCAACAGGGCTCTCCCCCGAGCTCTCAGCGTCCTGCTCAGCTGAATGTATAATATCGGTACTATTAGGTTGGCGCACTGGATAGAAGTTTCATCAAAAGTTCGATATGAAATGATGTTGCGTTTGATACTGTGATACAATGATACTACACGCGAGAGAAATGAGTCCAGGAGAAAGCTAAGGAATATTGAAATGAAACAAGAAACAGGGCTATTGACAACAAATGAAAAGACGCGAACTACAAGACATTGAAGATGAACAGAAAACCACTCAGATAACAAGTCAAACAAAACCAAGTCGCACTTCACAGTCCTTTCATTTAGCGCTCAAGAAACCCAAATCAACACCCCAGTCCGCAGACCAGCCTGGCTAGCCGCCTGCACAGCACAAACATAACAAGGCCCACCGGCCCTCCGTATAACCGCATTCTTCCCCCTCTCCGAACACCAAGCCCTCGCCAGCAACTCTGCTCCCTTTCCCGTAGCATTAATGACCATAACATCGATATCCTCGGTATCCTCAGCCGTATGTTCCCTCAGCTGCTCAATTGTCCAAATGTTTCTCTCGCTGTATTTATGCAGCTCCCTAAGATGAATTTCATGGGCGCCCTTTGGACCAGCGCGACAGGGCGGGGGTGTCACGAAGACGGGGTTGGTGAAGAGTTTGTATGTTTGTAGGTCCGGACTGTCGTCTCGTTTGAAGACAAGTTGGGCGAGGTACATTACTTTGTCTTCGTCGTCAATGGAACCTGTACCTGCATTGTTACGCTTGAGTTGTATGGCCTTCAGTTCGCAGGTGCCGACTTGCTTGACGGGGGGCTCGGGGACGATCCAGTTGTTTGCGTTGCGCATGTCGGCCATCCAGGGCTCGATTTCTTCGCCTTCTTTCGGCTGCGTGTCGTCGTAGCGGCGGCCAGAGCTGCTAATCAATATTGGTGCACTGGGGTCCCGGGATATGTGCTTTACGAGACTGAGGTTGCGCGCTTTTAGTCGGATGTGGTGGGGTTTGTCTGCGTCTCCGGGGACTGGGGAGAGGAATTCTACAGGTGGGCAAGGTCCGATCCATCCGCAGAGGGAGATGACGCCTGGGAGACAGCCCAGGACTCGACCGAGTACTGTACGGACTCTCCAGTATGATTTCTTTGTGAGTGAGAGACCACAGTCGAAGAAGGCGGCTATACCGGTCTTTTGCTTGATGGATGGTGTGCATAGAATCAACGCTGTCATGATCTTGAATGCAAACCATTGACCTGGAAGTGTCATGCCGAAGAGCCAATCGTGCAAGTCTGCAGGAAGATTTTGACCCCCTCGCAAGTCACTGTATGCTTCTTCTGCGTAGTTTCTTACCTCATTGATCCATGGCCACTTCATCTTCTCGGCAAACAGTAGCAGTCCTTCAACCTGTTGCTCATGGCAGCGCGAGTGCATTTCAACCCCCTTCATCAATGTGTTGTAGTCTTGTTCTATATACGCCTTTCGCAGCTCTTCGCGCTTCTTCAGGTCTTTCTCATCGTCGATTTTCTTGAGCTCATCTTCTTGTTGGGCTTTTGCGTTGGCAAGACCAGTTTGCATGGCGGCGGAGACATTGTTGCCCGCGAGCTCGATGGCGCGCTCAAAGGCTTGGATGCCTCGTTTCGTAAGACCACATTTTGTGGATGCGGCACCAATTCTGGACCAGGCTTTTGCATATTTCGGATCAATTCTTGTGGCGACGTATGCATCTTCCATGGCGTCTTCAAAGTTCTCCAGAGAGTACGAGGCAGCTGATCTGTTGCAGCGATATGTAGCATCCTTCAGGTCGATCTTTAGTGCTTCTGTGTAAAATTCAAATGCTTTCTGGTACGCATTCTTGGCTAGAGCTTCATTGCCTTTTTTCTTGAAATTTTCAGCTCTGGCTTTCTCTGCTGCGTTCTCTGCGTCTATCATGGATAGCCCACAACGCCTTCTTCCTTAACTTAGTGTCTCTCTGTCTATCCCTCGCAGCCCTCCGCAGATTCTCATACGGCCTCCTAAATACTGCACCCAAGATCCCAGGCCCAACACCGATATCGACACTAGCATTCTGCGTCTGGTCCTCGGACGGCCGGAGCCCGTAATTACTCTGCAGCCGCTCTGAATTATCAAAGATGTGCTGGATACAACCGAGGAGTCGCATAACAGTCTCATTCACATTGCTCTGCTGGAGTCGAGTATCGGGTCGCGTTGTTGAATTCTCTCCATCTAGGCCTATCGTGTCGCCCCATGTCACCAGACGGATTCGTTCCACCTCGAGCTTCACACGGAGAAGCTCGTACTCCATACCATAGCTGCGTCCGGAATCAACAACCTCGAATACTTCTACGCATGTCTTCCAAAGGGCAACGACGCCCAAAGCGAGACCTGCGGCTTCGGTCATGATTTGTAGGAGGGTTTGGGGAAATAGTTCATTGCATGTACACGCGGGTTTGGTAGGAGCTATATCGCAGCCATACCCCGCTCGCATTCCTCGCGTTTGCGAACCGGTCAGACACAGCCCCTCTGTGCCGTCTTGAAGCCTAGCCTTGCCGAGCGCCTCAACACCACTACTAACGTCCATCCCTGCAGGTCGAGAACTCGCGTACCGCCTTGTCCTCGAGCGCCACGACAGCATAATATACGATAGCATAGTCACGCCACAAGCTAAGTAACCTCGGAAAGGGAGTGTACCATAGCATAAGCCAATCATCGTTCATACATAAGGACTGCGATGCTGCTTCAAAGCGCCACCGATATACTAAAGAACGTACTACAGGGTGAAATGTTAGCTACCATCACAAGGCTACGTACCTAAAATAAAAACCTGAAATAGAAGAATCAGAAGACGCTCATAACTCACAACGCAAAATTTAACGCATACTATAACAGACAGCATAGGGACATATTTGATTAGTGAACCCGTGCGTGTGCCGAGCCTCTTCGCATAACATTGAAGGCAAAGGTTGTTCGTCACAATAAAGGTTATCGACCACCACTGCAAGAAACAAACATCACCACTAAAGCCAAGGATCGCGAGAGCTAACTAAGGGCCTGCTCAGTTGCTCTTTTTTGCGGCTGCGTTTTTGGGCCTGCTCGGCTCAGGGCTTCAACAGGGAGTGCTTGCAAGTTTCGTGGCTATACTAAGACAAAAAAGGATAGAAAACGGAGGAGCTGTCCGGCTAGGATTTTGGCGTTTCTGTTCTCTGCCACTTTACTACCTCTAGCGGTCCGTGCTAGAGAACCAGCGATAGTTGTACTGTGTCGCAGGTTCCTACAGTCGGAAACTGGTAACCAGGGTTGGGGCCTTAGTATAAGCTAAGATGCTTACCCTAAAACAGAAATTTGGTTCTCGTTTAGTATGACTGTAAACGGGAGGTTGCCAGGAATTCTAGTGAACGATCAGGTAAAACAATGGTCAGTATTTCCCTTGGTCAAGCAATTGACAAACTGCGGGGGATTTGAGTTTAACCCCCCGCTAAAGAGCTTACTGCTATCTCTTTTTGCATTTCTAGATAAGCAACCAACAACTTAGTTGCTGTCGATTCAATTATGTGCAGACCTATCATTGCCTTAATTATTATTATTATTATTATTATTAATTAACGTCCTGTCTCAGCTGGTAGGCTATATAAGACGTGCAGGCTAGGCCTACAGGTAACTACGTAGTG